CCTTGAGAATTATCTCTATACTCCCATCGCGATGCTTCACGCTTAGTAGAATCTGTTTTTTTTGGGACGACCTCGCGTATTTTCCTTAACCTCCGGTTCTCCATATGCTTGTTGGTCCGGGTAAATGTAGAAGTTGGGTAGGAACGTCCCTACCCTCAAAACTTTCCTTACGCAACCAGTCTCTATAGTTATATACATGTCGCCGATTAGCATGGTCGTGTGGATTTTTTTTCATGGACGGCGGCCAAAATATTTGCTGGTGTCACATGCGCAACAGTCATTTCACGAATAATTTTTTGGATGACACGCTTATGCCGCTCGACTGTCGATGGCCCTCAGGATACACGACAAATGAATGATTATGGTATCCCTTCGTTTCGTCTTGACTCGTGTGGATCATTCAGTATGTCGATCTGGCAACACGCTTTACTTGTATCTCAAAAGGGCACTGGCACGCTTTCGTTTTTTAACGTCTCGAAACAGCTTTATTCATATCTACGTTTTTGCCTCTATAACGTTCGCCTCGATCGCACTTCAAGATCTTCAGCCTTCCGGGTTTTTTGTGTTTCGAAATAGTCAAAAAGAAACCATTCAGAATTGTCGTACTTTTTGCATCCTTAATAGCCTCCACATCACTAATAAACAGCGTAGTTATATCGAAAGCGGAACGGTAATCAACACCATCTCCTCCAAAATCTTCTAAAGACACCTGCAATGTATTTAATAATTTTAAAGCATTTAAAATTAATAATAAAAAAAATAAAGAAAATAAAAAAAAAATAAAAAAAAAATGGTGTCCGGCCGGTCGGACCGGCCGGACCGGGTCAAAACCGGCCGTCGTGGCCGGACACCAATACGGCCGTACGACCGGTCGGTTAGTACAACGACCGGTCCGTACGGCCATAATTTTCGCACGGACAGGGTCGAGTCCGGTCGAACCGGCCGGACGGCTTTGTGAATGTCCGGTCCGGTCGGCCGGACACCGCCGGTTCCGTGCGAAAATTTGGGCCGGACAATTTTTTTTTTTACCTCTGAGCTGCTGGACATCTTGCGAAAGTGAGAAATGAAAAGGGCAAAATCGTCTAAGAGAGGCGGTGACTAGTAATAAGGGGGGCGGTAAGTAGTAACGCCCTTTTTTTTTCAAGGTGTAATGCATTACATCACAACAAACGATTTAATTTATAGACGACATTTCATACTGTAAAGTTGATATTATGTAGGTAATGTATACACCAATTCATAAATGAGTTGTAGATGTGACATTCCATTCAAAGTGAAAACCATTAATACGTATTTTTCATAGGATGTGGGCGCAGAGTGTAAATTGAAATGAATGACAAATACAATCAAACAATGACAAATGAACAACTTTTATTTTTTATGTGTGACAACATAATATTTACTACATTTATATTCATAAAAAAATATTGTAAAAGTGTTAGTACACTTAAAATTATCTTTAAGCACACATTTCAAAATAACACAAGATTATATTTTTTTATGTGTGACAAAACTTTTTTTTTTTCAAAATTAACTTTGGTTGACCAAAAATGCTCATTTTGAGCGGATATTTTTGTATACACATAAATAAAACCCGTCAAACGGGTACCCTACCCTTTAAACAAAGAAAACCCGATTCGGATCCTTACCCGTTTTATCGGGTCAATCAGCACTACGCTATAACTTGGGCACGACCGAGGAGGGGAGAGAGAGAGAGAGAGGGAGCGAGCTCGCGCGCTACAAAGCCCTAAAAAACCCTAAAGAATCACCCCTTCGCAGATTTATCTTCAATTGAGCTGATTGCTGTGGTTAATTTAAGCCGGCAAGATGAGGATTATGATCAAGGGTGGAGTATGGAAGAATACGGAGGACGAGATCTTGAAGGCGGCGGTCATGAAGTATGGCAAGAACCAGTGGGCCAGGATTTCTTCGTTGCTGGTTCGAAAATCGGCGAAGCAGTGCAAGGCGAGATGGTACGAGTGGCTCGATCCATCCATCAAAAAGGTATATTCGATTCTATTCTATTTTCGACATTTCTAGGGTTCTGGATTTTTATCTTTTTTTGGTTCCTGTTTTGTGTTGTATGTATCTTTAAGCGTATATACTGCTTTTGAAGCTGCATTTTTTAGGTTAAATGCTTGAACTTTGCAAGCTAAAGAATGGAGAAATGGATAACTTAGGTGAGGGGAGGGGAGGGGAGGGCATGTGACAAATGTATGGTTAAATGTTAGGTTTCACAACTTAAAGATGCAGGGTTGAGCATAATTTCATAAAAGGGAGTTGTAATGATGCTTGGGAAGATCGCCAAACTTTCTGATACGATATCTATCTAATAGCTGACGATGATTTCTAAGAAGCTGATGATTTCGAGTCTGTTCAAATTTATTCTACTGAGTTCTCAAGTCAGATTTTAGTACTTTCATAAGGTTTTTACCTCCATTGAAAGTTTAAAAGTTAGTAGAACTTTAATTCACTAGCTAACAACATTGTGAATGTGTTGAAAATGGAGTGCTTTTCTCTGTTTTATGTTTCCCTTTCTTTGTGAAGTTGTTTGAAGCTTGTATATATTGGTTCTTCAGAAAATTACTTGTAAACTTGAATGGCCTAACGGATCATATCACATCAAAGAATCATGTCAAATCAAACATATTTTGAGCAAAAATTGATTTTTTTTTTTTTTAAATAATGATAGCATGTTTTCTGCATTTCAATTTGTTTCTCTGCTGCCTCTCGAAATCAAGCACAATGACTTGCTGCCTCACGCAATTGTAATACTACTGAAGTTGTTTGATTTACGAACTTTTCGATTGGATTGACCTTTTTGCATGAACATATCATTTTTAAAGAGCTTGATGACAATGAAGAGTTCTTGAATTGCAGACGGAATGGACTAGAGAAGAAGACGAGAAACTACTGCATCTCGCGAAACTCATGCCCACTCAGTGGAGGACAATAGCCCCTATCGTCGGCCGTACCCCTTCTCAGTGCCTCGAACGGTACGAGAAGCTCCTCGACGCGGCCTGCGCTAAGGACGAAAACTACGAGCCGGTGGATGACCCGCGGAAGCTCCGCCCGGGAGAGATCGATCCTAACCCAGAATCCAAGCCCGCGCGTCCTGATCCCGTGGATATGGATGAGGATGAGAAGGAGATGCTTTCCGAAGCCCGGGCCCGTTTGGCCAACACCAGGGGCAAGAAGGCGAAGAGGAAAGCCCGGGAGAAGCAGCTTGAGGAGGCCCGGAGGCTCGCCTCTCTGCAGAAAAGGCGGGAGCTGAAGGCCGCTGGCATTGACGTTCGCCATCGGAAGAGAAAGCGACGGGGCATTGACTACAATGCCGAGATTCCGTTCGAGAAGAAGCCCCCGCCGGGCTTCTACGATGTGGCCGACGAGGAACGGCCTGCTGAGCTCGTCAAGTTCCCCACCACCATCGAGGAGCTCGAGGGCGAGAGGAGGGTTGACCGGGAAGCTCGGCTGAGGAAACAGGACATTGCCAGGAACAAAATCGCGCAGAGACAGGATACTCCTTCAGCAATCCTTCAGGCGAACAGGCTGAACGACCCGGAAGCTGTTCGGAAGAGGTCCAAACTGATCCTCCCTGCCCCACAGATTCCCGATCACGAGCTGGAGGCAATCGCCAAGATAGGGATCGCGAGCGACCTTTTGGGCAACGAGGAGTTGACAGAGGGAAATGCTGCCACGCGCGCGCTGCTGGCAAGCTATGCCCAGACGCCAAGGCATGGGGTCTCGACCCCCATGCGGACCCCACAGAGGACGCCCGCAGGCAAGCAGGACGCCATCATGATGGAGGCTGAGAACCAGCGGAGGCTGACCCTGTCACAGACCCCACTGCTCGGAGGGGACAACCCAATGCTGCACCCCTCGGATTTTTCCGGAGTTACCCCTAAGAAAAAGGACGTCTCAACTCCAAATCCACTCCTGACTCCCTCAGCGGCAACTCCTGGTTTGACTCCCAGGATCGGTATGGGTACACCCGCAAGAGACGCATACTCTCTTAATATGACTCCGAAGGGAACCCCAATGAGGGATGAGCTTCGGATTAATGAGGACATGGATATGCTCGAAGGTGGGAGGTCGAGGCAGTCGGATATGAGAAAGGAGCTTATTGCTGGACTAAAAAATCTTCCGCAGCCCAAGAATGAGTACCAGATAGTGGCGCAGCCAATTCCTGAGGAGGAGGATGAGGAGCCAGAGGAGCAAATAGAGGAGGATATGTCGGACAGGATTGCTAGAGAGAAGGCGGCAGAGGAGGCTAGGCAGCAGGCTTTGCTCAAGAAAAGGTCCAAAGTGCTGCAGAGGGAGCTGCCAAGGCCTCCGTTGGCTGCAGTGGAGCTTATCAGAAGCTCGCTGGTTAAAGCGGATGAGGACAAGAGCTCATTTGTGCCCCCAACTTTGGTTGAGCAGGCTGATGAACTGGTGAGGAAGGAGCTTCTGTTGTTGCTGGAGCATGATAATGCGAAGTACCCACTGGACGAGAAAGCTACCAAGGAGAAGAAGAAAGGTGGCAAGCGTGCTGTGAACGGGAAGTCTCAGTCTGTGCCGTTAATTGACGAGTTTGAAGAAGATGAGCTAAAAGAGGTATGTGGTTGAATTTCAGTTTCAAGTTTTAACAGGCATCTATCTATACATATGTATTATATTGCTCTTATAGTGTTACAACCTAATGTTAAAATTCGTTTGAGTTACTAAACTGGCATATTGTTGAATTTTAAGTATTGAATTTTATTGCAAAAAATTTCATGATTTGAAAGGTGATTTTAGCCATTGCACATTGTCAACCTCCAGCTGGCACTCAGTGTTGCACAGGTTCTTATTTTGTTCATTGAATTTGTTTGTTTCATCTGGATTTTCAGTTGAGCTTCAAAGTTCAATCATCTGTATTAGAATATTTATCCCTTTCTGAAGTTGTGTTTGAAACTGTTGAATATCTTATGGAAGGATAATAGTATCTTCAAATTATTTTACCTGCCCATAGCACGGTCAACAGTATAGCATTACCATCACTGATTTAAAACTATAAGGTGACTATTGTGACTGCTTCATTTTTTATAATATTATTGAAATTTATGCTGTGAATATTGTTGTGTGGTTTTTTACTTTTTTTTTAGGCTTATACTCGGCCTTATTTATTTCAGTTGTGAGCGCCTGTGATTGTGGCCTTTAAATACACATATATATTAGTTTACTGGAAAACAGTGACTCAGTAATTTACTTTGATACCCAACATTGGTACCCAATCACCACTCCATCCACACCCAACTTTCGATTTTTATCAAGATCATCATTTACATTTGTTTGTCATTTTTTACCTCATTGAATATCAAAACTCAAAATCCCCACTTTTTCGGTCCCCTGGTACATATACTAATAACTCATAATCACGCAGGCCAACGAATTAATAAAAGACGAGGCTGAGTTCCTGCGCGTCACAATGGGCCACGAAAACGAGCCCCTCGAAAGCTACGTGGAGGCCCATAAGACTTGTCTGGACGACATCACATACTTCCCGACTCGTGCCACCTATGGGCTCTCGAGCGTTGCCAGCAACACCGACAAGCTAGCGGCCCTTCAGGACGAATTTGAGAACGTTAAGAAAACTATGGATGATGAGGCTAAGAAAGCCCAACGTCAGGAGCAGAAGATCAAAGTCCTCACCAACGGCTACAATATGCGAGCCGCCAAGCTCTGGACCAAAATTGAGTCGGATTTTAAGCAGATGGACACTGCCGGGACCGAACTCGAGTGCTTCCGGGCCTTACAGATGCAGGAGAAGGTATCGGCCACTCACAGGATTAGCAACTTATGGGAAGAGGTTCAGAAACAGAAGGAACTCGAGCATGTCTTGCAGAGAAAATATGCCGACCTTTTGTCCGAACAAGAGAGGCTGCAGCATTTGATGAATGCATACAGGTTGCGAGCCGAACGGGAGGCAGAAATAATGGCGGAGAAGAAGAATAATGATGACAGAAGTAACGGAAATGCCCCTGTAGTGACCGAGGCTGAGGCTGAGCGTGTTCAGGATGAGGGTAACCCTATGGAAGTAGAAGTTACGGGTGCTGATGAAATGAAAAGTGAACAATCGGGACTTCGGGCAGAGAATGAGGAAATTATGCAAGAAAAACCTATGGAAGTAGAAGTTTCGTGTGCTAATGAAATGGAAAGTGAACAATCGGGACTTGGGGAAGAGAATGATGTAGCTGTTCAAGAAAAGGCAGCAGAAAATGAAGCTGTAATATCTGCTGAGGAAGAAAAGGTGGCAGGGAATGAAGCAGCTGTTCAAGTAAAGGCAGCAGAAAATGAAGCTGTAATATCTGCTGAGGAAGAAAAGGCGGAGAATGAAGCTGTAAAATCTGCTGAGGAAGAAAAGGTGGCAGAGAATGAAGCTGTAAAATCTGCCGAGGAAGAAAACGCGGCAGACAATGAAACTGTTAAGTCTGCTGAGTAACAAAAGGCTCACAACTGAGTTTTAATATATTTGGAATTGTGAGAATGAAATTTGTGTGTACTGGAGGGATTTTGATTTTCTTTATCATAGAACTTTGTCTGAGTTTGAATTTGTGAAATACATTTGAGAGACTTTTTGTTATGGTAATATCTTTTTTTCCCCTAATTTTGCTGAACAGAAACTGGAGTTCCTCTTCAGAAGGTGACGCATGGAGAAAATTTCTAGTATCCTTGAAGAATATGAACTTTGAGAAATAGAGATGTCTCAAATTTAATTCAATATTGAAGCTAATACTATCAAATAACTGTTGTAATCAAACTGAAACCGAGTGAGCTGAGTTTGAACCTATTAAGCTCGTGTTTGATTATGTTTGAACATTATTCGTGTTTGTTCGTTTATTATTTGAGAGGAAAATCATGTTTGAGTGTGTTCGTCGTATTTCTCCGTATTTCAATAATTAAACTCAAATATTTTTAAATAATCGTCGAAGTTCGTGTTCTGTCAATATTCAGTTTCGAACTTCTGTAAATATTCAGGTTGAAACCTGAGAAGCCTATTCAACACCATGTGAGTATGTCTCAAGCTAAGAAAGCTGCTTTAGCTTTGAGATGAACAAGCAACTAAAAATAAAAACAACAATAATAATAATAATAATAGAATTAATAATATCAAACAAGCAACACTTGCAAGGAGGTGAAATAAGCTAACAAAAGCCTAAGGCATAACAATACAACTTACAAACAAACTTGAGTCACTAAACACAAATTTGCAACATTCAAGGGCTCACTCAAAGCTACTCAAACCATTACATTACTTATAATGCTTCTTTTTCTTCTCTGCAACAAACGCAAGAAGCCTCGAAACGCCTTGTGTCCACATTTCGTACTCTCTTGCGTTCTTGCACTCAAACTCGACCACTCCACGAACCTGCGTTTTTAGCCCGAAATACCGCCTTTTCTCTCCATCCTCGAACAAATGTCGGCCCGGCCATGCGGGCATGTCCTTACAAACATCCACAACAATATCTGCAAAATGCAATAAATAAATAAATAAGATGCCAGCATAAAAATCGACTGTACACTGGAGTACATTGAAATATGGAATCGTTCGTTGTTTTTATGATCAATGAGATTTAATTAGGGTTCATTACTTTTCTTCTTCTTGGTGATGGTACTTGCTACATGTTTGCTCTTCATCTTCAGCATCACCTGCCAAAAAAAAAAAAACAATTTTCTTTATCTAGACACTGAAAATTATCGAAGTAAATTTTTGGTTATACGAAAATCGACTAAACTTACGTTTCCACTCCTGTGAATATAAACAGACACAATCTTCCAGTGTAGATCACCTGCAGCACCAAATTTGCAGAGCAACAAAAATTTTAGCAAAATTACAAGAAAATCCCAGTTCAATTCAAAATTACAAATGCGGTCCCATCACTTGTTCATAAGGTCATTCAGCACTTGTATACAGTTGTGTTCAAACTTCAAAGAACTCAGACTCAGAGCACTAAAATGAATGAAGCAAGCTTTTATGTAATTACGCTAAACATGTGGGGCAGTTTTTCGAAATTATGCGTAAATTGCATGGCGATTTAGATATTACCTTTACGAGTTCTCTTGAGAAGCTCAGTGCCTCTAGCAAGCATTTCCTGATTGCAGGCAGCCAAAAAATTCTCTTCAGGCACTAATTCTTCACAGTAGCCGCCGGAGCTATTGCTGCTCAAGTTATTGTGATTGTTATTTCCTCCTCCGGCGGCGGCGCCGCCTAAGTTCAGCCCTCTCTCGATCGGGATTGCCGCCGCAACATTCCAAACTTCTTTCAAGGCTCTGGCTTTCAGCGTCGCCACCCCTCGCAAAGCTTCAAGAAGGTGAAATTTGGGGGGAAAAATGTCAGGGATTTGATTAATTTGTCTGCAGTATACGTAATTGGATGTGTAATTGAAATTGCGAATCGAATTGTGTGTGTGTGTGTGTGTTTTTGTTTTTTTCTTGGGAAAAATATTCAATTTTTGGGACAAATCTTAAATCTAGGGCACCTGTGGCGGCGGCGGCGGTGAGGGTGGATATGTCGCCGTGAGATCTGACGTTTACGGCGGAGCTGATGGCGGACATGAGGTGGTCCCGGTCGGCGCCCATGGCCTCCGCCGCCTCCACGCACTGCGCGGCGACCAGCGTGGCGGCCGAGGCCACGGCCATGTCGGTCTTCGCCATCTGCTCGTCCTTCCCCTTGGAGGACGCCGACGCTGTCGCCGCGGCTATGGCGGCGATGGCGGCGGCCACACCGGCGACCGAGACCGCCGCGTGCAGCTGCGCGTTATGTGTACGGGTTTCTTCCTTCTTCTTCTCCCTGCGCTCTTTCAGCCATCTCCCCACCGTCTTTCCGCCCGGCGTGGTGGCTCCTCCGGCGCCGCCGCCGTTGTAGCCGGCGCGGGGCGTGCCGGTGAATAAGGGTTGCAGAGTGTTGTTTGCCCGCAAATACTGTGGAAAAATTGAAATTAATAAAGCCAAAATATTATTTAATTTAATTACTACAGTAAAATAACTACATCTACAACAGTTTTGTTACCAAATTGTTCTTGAATATTATGTATTTCACTTGTTAAATTAAACGAGTCGTTAATGATCTCGGCTCGGTTTTTAAATTTTTTATTTTAACTTAATTCATTAATATTAATATATAAATTATTAATTTATTTAGTAAATAAATCAAACTCAATACATATATAAATGAACAAGAAATTAATTAAAATTAACAAATAGAGAGGCGACAGAAGACGAGCAATATTAGAATTTGAAAGGCGACAGAAGACGAGCAAGAAGAAAAGTAGAGAGTGAGGGCGAGGAAGAAGATAGCGAGAGGGCGGCGGACAATTTGAAAGAAAGAATTGAAGAAGAAAGATAAACTGAAAAAGAAAGTAAAGATATAACAAATTTTGTGTTAAGGGTATATTGGTAAAATGAGCAGACTTAAGAGCGCTTTCCTCTATGTAGGAGCGAAATAAGCTTTTTTTTTTGGTACAGCGAAATAAGCTTTTTGTCTTCTTTTAAAGAAAAAGCAAAAATACTAGATTTGGAGCTTGACTAGAATTGGAACTTTAAAAGCAAAAATACTAGATTTGGAGCTTGACTAGATTTGAAACTCGTTGTCTTCTTTTAAAGAAAAAGCAAAAATACTAGATTTGGAGCTTGACTAGAATTGGAACTCGGGTTCTAGCCAGGAAGCAATAAGATAGGATACATCGGTGTAAACGATTTCTATATGAAAATTTAATATGATTATTTATTAAATTTCACAAATGACCTTTACCCAAATTTAATATGTTTATTTATTAAATTTCACAAATGACCTTTACCCAAATTTCACAATAAAATTTAATAAATAATCATATTAAATTTTCATATAGAAATCGTTTACACCGATGTATCCTATCTTATTGCTTCCTGGCTAGAACCCGAGTTCCAATTCTAGTCAAGCTTCAAATCTAGTATTTTTGCTTTTTCTTTAAAAGAAGACAACGAGTTTCAATTCTAGTCAAGCTCCAAATCTAGTATTTTTGCTTTTAAAGTTCCAATTCTAGTCAAGCTCCAAATCTAGTATTTTTGCTTTTTCTTTAAAAGAAGAGAAAAAGCTTATTTCGCTGTACCAAAAAAAAAAAAAAACTTATTTCGCCCCTACATAGAGGAAAGCGCTCTCAAGTCTGCTCATTTTACCAATATACCCTTAACACAAAATTTGTTATATCTTTACTTTCTTTTTCAGTTTATCTTTCTTCTTCAATTCTTTCTTTCAAATTGTCCGCCCCCCTCTCGCTATCTTCTTCCTCGCCCTCACTCTCTACTTTTAGTCAGGGTTATATAGTCAAACCTCATCAATATTAATATATAAATTATTAATTTTTTTTTGTTTTTTTAAAGAAAAATCAAATTTTTAATTATATACATTATATTAGAATTTAGATTTATGTTATAAATTAGAATTTAATATCTCATAGTTAGAATTTAGAAGTTGTTAAATTATAAATTATAACTAATTATCTTCGGTAATAAATTTTAAAATACAAAATAAAATTTTGACTTAAATTTTAAATTCATAAATACCAATTTAAATAACAAATTGAACGAAAAAATTCAGATTCTGTTAGAGCAATTCATTGAGACCGATTAATTCAGTATGATTTGACCGAATTTTATGACAAGAGATTGTTTGACACTTTTCTCAGAGTTATATGATTCGTTTGAATATTATAGTAGGAAAAGCGTTCTAACAAAATAGTAATAAATTCTAATTTATAATAGTATTAATCTATACCATAATAATTTCTAACTTCTAACATAGTAGTACTAAATATTATTTCATAAGGCTATCAATTCTAAATCATACCATAATAATATCCAACTTCGAACATAGTAGTAATAAATTATAATTTATAACATAATCTATATAAATATAAAAAGGTTTGGCATTTACTAGAAATAGAAGTAAAAATCCCGCCTAAAATTTTTAAACTTACTAAATGAAGTATTTTTTTTTTTTTGAAAAATTTTCGAAAATCCCTTTCAAACATATTTTGAAAAATTTCAATAAAAAAAATTATATTCCAATATTTAAAGAAAAAATATTTATTTTGGTATGTCAAATCAAATGTTAAAGGGACCGATCAAATTTTTTTGGGATATGAAATCAAATTTAAATGGACATATCAATTTGTTTTGGTATACGAAATTAAATTTTGATATACCAAATCAAATCTTAATGAAATCTGAAGAAATAATGACATTGCTTATCTAATGTAAAAAATTATGTACATTAAATGTATTTATAGCCAAAACCACAATTTTGCTTTCCTTTTTGACGCCTTTTTACACATGGAAAAATATTATCAAATGATTTTTTAACTGTTCCCACCTATTTTTTCCTTCATTTCTATCTTCTTTTCTATTTTTTATCTCTCTTTCTAATATCTTTTAATTTCGTCTCTTCTTTTTCTTCTGCTCTAATTTTATTTTTTCTCCCGTGTTCTTCTTTCGAATCATCTCACGTTTAAAGAAAAATATCGCCAAAAAAATAAAAAAAAATCCTGCGTTTGGTGACACCTATTTTTTACCTGTCTCGATGGTGCAGA